AAAGATCACATAAATCACTACTTTCAAGTTAGTTTTCAGGTGGCAGTATTGTTATTTTTTTTTATGTGTAACTGTCAAATGTGTCTGTTCTGGGCTCATGAAATAAAGGCATGTTTATGCATATTAAATAAGTGCAGTGGGAAGTAACAGATTTTGTAGGCCAGAAAAAATATGGCCATGGAAATTTTATTGCATGGTAACAAAAGTAGACCTTGGATGTGCTTGAGTAGATAATTTTTTCTCTGTCGGATATTCAATATTGGTTGATAAGATTTTTAATTTTTAAATGTCATGCAGGTCATCCCACAGGTCTTCACTCTGAAACGAGGAAAAGATATTCAACAGGTTAGGGAGGTTTTGCTCTAAGCTGCTCTTAGTGTTTGCCAAGAATTGGATGTTGGATAGGATAATATTAAATATAGTCTGCATTCAATGCACTTTTAATTTTTGGCTCTTATGTCTAGCAAAGGCCCATGTCCTGCTCTTTTTTTTTGCAAACATTAATTTGAAGGCACATACTTAATGTATCCGTAAAAGTAAGGTATCCATTGAGTATGCATTCCACACACTACTTTCCCAATTACTGTGGTGAAAAGTGTCCAAAGTGGACTTTGAGTGTGCTTTGTTGCTTCCCTTCTTGCCAGTGAGGGGATTGCTGCTTGGTAGTTATATTCATTTAACTCATTGAGAATTTAAGTTATAATTTTTTGTTCAGAGATGCCTAGTGGAATTGTGGACTAAACTATTACAATTGTGATTAAAATTGTCTTATTATTAGTAGTAGTAGTGCTTTGTACAAATCTACTATCTCTCCATAACACATGCATCAATTGTAGTTATATATGAAAGGCAATTATATCCATTTAATATACCACATTGTAGCCATAGGTTTTCCACGCTCTGCTATCAATTGCTGTAGATGACATTTAAGCATTTAATATGTGGTAATTTGATTAATCATAGGAAAACAGTTCACCAATTTAAGACTGACATACTCCCCGCTCTAATGTGTTCAGGATTTCAAGATGTCATTTAACATCAGATCTTAAACCACATTCATAATTTTCAGCAAAAAAAAAATGCAAAATTCATGCAGTGTGAATAGGCCTTGAAGTTTGTGAACCACTTGCAAACGGATATTATCAGAAAAGATTACATAAGTCACTACTTTTGAGTCTTCCAGAACTCTCTCAACAACTGTTTATTTTATTTCTCAAACATGCTATACTTACAGCCAAAGTTATTTTACCACTGAGTAGGTGTATGTTCCAATCTCAAAATTGAGGCCAAGGTGAATACTATATAACAGGGAACTTGTTGATTTTCATGGTGATGCAATTGGCCCCAGTGCTATCCCATCCATGAAATGCAAGACTTGAGATAATGAAGGAAGAAATCAATGTGCTTTAGGAATACTTTGCCAAACTGTGTACTAAATAAGTGAAGTGGGATGTAACATAGATTTTGTAGAGCAGAAAAAAATATGGTCATGGCAATTTTATTGCATGATAACAAAGGGTAGACATTGAATGTGCTTGAGTAGATAATTTTTGACATGGTTTGATGCTACTCTGGTTTAAAGATTTAATGAATGTAACCCAGAAGTTACAATTCATAGACCCAATGTTTCGACACTCCTATTTAGTGCATTTATCAGGGGTGATCTAATCACTGTAACAAGAAGTCCTTTAATATGCTCACTAATTCGCTGCTCTTTTCTCTGAAGAGGTGTGAAATGGGTGTCAGGTAGTAAGCCACCATCACAATTTAAAGGAGTGTGGGCAGAGTTGATATGCCAGGCTTCCAAACAAAGATGCTGGTGGTAATGTCGATTAGTAGTGATAATTTTAGACTTATCCCACTCAATTGTATGGTTAGTTAGGCATGGGTGCCTGAGTAAAGTTTTGGCATGGACATTTTATGGCAAATAGGGTGGTGAGAGTTGAGAGAGGCATTTGTTGGTGTGGGTAGGTTTTTAACTTCTTAGTTGCATTCATTAAATCGTTAAACCATTGTTCCATCAAACCATGTCTGATTGCCCACCTGGTTGCCATGTGAACTTTGATATATCCTACATAATTTTACTCTGTTAGTTGTTCGATATGGGTTGATAAGATTTTTTAATTTTTTAATGTCATGCAGGTCATCCCACAGGTTCTCACTTTGAAGCAAGGAAAAAAAATTCAACAGGTTAGGGAGGTTTTTGCTCTGAGCTGTTCTTAGCATTTGCCAAGAACTGGCCTTTGGTTAAGATAATGTCAAATATAGTCTGCATTCAATGCATGAATTTGTAATATGTAATTGCTTTGAAATTATGAGGAAGGAAGGTGATTGAATGCCTGAAACAATTCCTTTGTGAAACTGTGGTGCACCCCCCACACTCCACAAAGGTGAAGTGCATGTACATTGTAAAATCACTCAACAAATCAACAAATTTGTCAAGAAATTGCTAACTCTACTGTCTACTGTTTACTTTTCCAGATGATTCATCTTTATCCACAGCAGCCATCATTGGCATCAGCGCAGCTGGACTTGTAGCCATCCTTGTGGTGATTGGTACAGTTGTTTACTGGAAGAAGTATCACCACCGTTCACGCCTGCGTGCTGCATACTACAATGATATCTCCATGCATGACCCTCTGTATGAAGACTTTGGCCCTGAAGTTGCATAATTAAGAAGTTTTGCTTTGCTATGTGACAGTGGCACAGCTACAGTCAGCATGGATGTTTTAATGCAATCGACAATCTTCAACAAAATGATTGAGGCAGCCTTCCATTTGACTTGAAAAACAGCCAATCCATATATTCTGTCTCCATTCCCATACCGTGTGACAAAGTTGATACTTTGTGGGTACCGTACTTTGTGTGCTCATATCTTCCTAGTGAACAAGGCTAGAAGGATTGGGTCAGGGAAAGTAACAAAGTGAATTCAGTGGTTCAGTCAACTGTACTTTATTTCATAAATGAAACTTGAAGGCAAAATTTTCAAACATTTTGTGGAAGATTGTGGGAAGTACTGTTCTTCGTGCTTGTTTCAACTTTCTTTACCTTTCCCTTTTTATTGTTGTTGTTTGTTAAGGCAAAGGTTATTTTTTGCTTTCTTTGTAAGATATGATTATGGAATAGCTGGTGTTGTGGTGTAGGTATCGATTAATGTGTTTTTATTTATCTATTTCTTAATCTTTGATTTTGGTTCTCTTGTCATCTGGTTATCACACCATTTTGGCGCACGCATGGTCTTGAATTACAGCCTACTGTTACAGTAGTTGTTTCACAGCAAAGTACAGACATCACACCTTTATGTGCTCTAAGGCTTAACTAGCAAAGCGAGGCTGAGAATATTTGAAACTTGGCTGCTGGCTAAAGCTATTCATGATAAAGCTGGCCATATTTAAATGTAAAATGTTAAATTTGTCAAATTTCACTAAAATATTATAAGGTATGTAGTAGTTGGTACAGAAACTGCACGTAAAATAGTTCATAATCCTTCCAGATTGATATAATATCTCCGTGTGAGGAAGGATTGACCTTCCATTTTGTGAGGGTTGGGAGGATAGTTATAAACATTTCGGCAGCCATCTCTTAGTTCAAGTGAGAAGTTTGCGTGATTAGTGTTACTGGATTTTGTCACGCAAGTGAACTGCGCACCTACCCCTCCCCTAACCCAACATTAACCCTAACTTTTTACCAGTTGACTGTTATTGGGATAGGGGAGTGGTAGGTGCGTAGTTACTCAGATACTGGCATTAATTCTTGTCAGTTATATAGAACACTTCTTCCTTAACCCTTTAACTCCCAGAAGTGATCAACATGAAACTTCTCCCTATTACATGCTCACATCGTCCAGCAAAAAGCTAATGAGAATATTCTAACTTATCAGGTAGAAGTTATCTTGATCTAACACCAAATTCTCATAATTAACTTATAAGGATACGTGTAGCAGCTAGAGGGGAGAATTGAAAATTAGATCTTGGGAGTTAAAGGGTTGAAGCTGCAAGCTTATCTGATGGTTAAAATAATTTAGAATGAACGAAGTTGTGCAACTTTCTGTTACCTTGATCGCACAATATTTAGTGCTGCAATACTGTGATGAAATAGCGTAGCTCGAGGAGATTAGTGATGGAAGCTGATCATGAGTGTCTTAATAATGCGTTTATACTTTTTTTTTTTGTCAGGCAGTAGCTATTTTTAGTACCTGTGGTAAGCTGGAAATGTAAACATGTACATAACTTTTACTTATAAACGGGTTCGGAAACTTCCTTAGGCGACGAACGTGTGAATTCTATCGATGTTTTTAATGTTGAATTTTTGGAAGTAAATCAATAAACGTAGCCATGATACACGTAATGACGCAAAACAGAAAGCAATTGTGTCATGACTTGAAAAAGCTAAGTAGCAATTGTCTGACATCGGATTGGCCGAAAAGGATACACGAAATTTCTAAGACCTTTTAACTAACTCAGAGCTCAAAGTTAATTAAAGCCAAAACAAAAGAGAGAGTCTCAAGCTTGGGACAAAGTGGAAATCTGCGGACTCTAACGAACCCCAAACTTATCAATTTCGCAGTAAAGAACAACTTTGTGTGCAACCCAGTTTCGAGAACTCAACCTCAATCGCTGTGGTTCGTTTACGAAACATTAGTCTAGTCTGTCTCTCTCTTACCATTTTAGACGCAAGGTGGATATTTTGGTAGAAAGGACGTGAAATACGACTAAATACGAGAAGAGTATCTTTGTGGTGATCTAAAAATATGGTTGTCTGGGCAAGAGTAGTAAGTTCGTTGAGGACGGGCGGTTCGAGAGCCACTTTGAAAAGGTCTCCATAGTCACGAAATTGGTAAAAAAAAAAAGACTTTTCCTGCCTTTTACGTACTTGAGAAGGACTTAGCCACCCATCTAACGACCCATGTTGCCAGAATATTTCCGTAATTCAGCTAGTTATTCTTAAGATTGGCCATGCTCAGTAGACCTCACCCGTTCAACTCTAGCTTACTCTAATACAATACACATCGTCAGAGTGGCTTTGAAATTAAGTAACTAGCGTAAAAAAAAGACAAACAAACAAAACACACAGGAAATAGCCCAGAGAAAAAGGATTCTTCATGTTGCGAGCCAACAGCACTGCTGCTGACTATGACGGCACTTGAAAAACTCAATACAGTTTTTTCTTTTTTAAGACAGCTATACCACGCGGACTACTTACAGCAGACTGTCGCCAAGAATGCTTGACCTTCGTACGGGCGGAGAGCAGTTTTCTTGATAACTTATCATGATAATTACTTCAAAATGTTGTGACGGAAAATCGTGGGCTTAAATGGAATATAAATGGCTTGATTTGAATCAAGGCATGCCACTGGGATCAACTAATCACCTTAGTTACTGATTAGTCGGTTGAATTTTTTTTATTTGTTGATAATCCCACGCAATGCATCCCTAACTGAAAGCACTGCTCTCCACGGAGTTGTCATGCCTCTGAGAATGAAAACCCTTGTAGTCATGGGTTATCGATAGTTGCACGTGACATTGCACAAACACTAATTTGTCGTGCTTGCGGTTTGTTCAATTATAAAACCCCCAGAGGAAATGTGTGGGCGATAGCAGTTTCTAAAACATAGAATTTTAAATAAGGCCAGGCATTTTAAAACTTAGCGTGTTTCCACATACGTTTCGAAATTTATTTGTAGGACCTTTCACAACTGGAACTGGTAAGGTTACACCATCATTGTCGCTTCCTCTCCATAAACTCCCGCTTTCCAGCTTCTTGATCTGCTCTCCTTTCCTCTGTGTTTTCCCCTGATCAATAAAAGTGCAAAACTGCCAAAAAATTGCCCTTGTCGTCGCATTGCCGTAATCCATCATGCTAGCAAATGCATTTCTTACTCTAATTTTCTTAAATCCTGAATTTTACTTACGAGAAAATCTCGAGTAATTTAACAGCAAGTTAAGAAAACCACGTTTCGTTTCACTGGTGGCAGCCTACTTTTACGTCTACTTCTTACTATCCGTTGTAAGCGCCGACATTGATCGGTCGATTTGTGATCAATTATTCAACGTGGGGACTGTGTCATTCAAAAATTTGAATTTGAGGCTATTTCTGACAAAGAATAGAGAAGGGTGGTTTATTTTCTGACGCGTTTTATGACCGGATGGATCTTGTTTCGCCATGTGTAGGAGACGATTCCACGATCGACATGTGAAAACTGTTGGTCTTGTTGACGCAGAGTAAAGAATATGAGGTGGAAATATGACAGCAGTTAATAACGTGTACCATTGCAGCTTTTTTTGGCAGAAGCAAGAATCTATATTATTCCAGTTAAGAAGTGTTGCATCATCGACTCGGCTAAATGCTCTTGTCTTGCTTTTTTTTTAATTTCTTTTTGTTACTGTGCCTATGGTAATAATTTTTCTCAGTGACTTATTTAGACCATGAAAAGGGCTTAAATAATTCTATTGTGTGGCTCCACTATGTCCGTGTAAGGTCTGGATACCAGTCTTTCCAAGAATTGAAGTACGCCAATGGGTTCTTAAATCATTATTATGTTATGTGCTTTTTAGTTCCTACAGGTATCAATGCACTTTTCATCTGCTCGGCGCCGCAGTGACTCAACCCTTAAGCTGGTTTAGGTGTATTCGGGCCTCACTGACTTCCTCAGCCACGAGTGCATACCCTGAAAACCCAAACAGATGTACGTAAGGAACCTTCTCGAGGCAGTTAAGCTGTTGAGGAGTTCTACTTATAGCAGCAGGTTTGAAAATTGGAAAATTTAATTCATATGCCGTCGAGTCTGACCACTTAAGCCGCTGGTATTGAGGACTGTCTCTCACTGATTAAGAGTTTACTTTTTCACTCAGCCTTATGTGAGATGAAGGGCGGTGATAAAATGATATTTTCCTGTATTTGTTGATAATATTTCCTCCATCCTTATCGTTCGCAATGCGCTGTAAAATTTTGATTAGCTTAGTTTGTCAGCTTCTCTAAACTCCCAAGAGACCATAATATTCCTGCCAGTGTACACCGGTATATTTGATTTGTTTGGAGCGCATACTGGCATTGTTTAGCACGACTTTCACGTGAAGAAGGGCGGAATCGTGATTTTAAACTGATAGAATTGGAAACAAAAAGATAACAATCAGTGCAATCGTTGGAGTACAATATTTTCTTCATTTGTGAGGTGGAAGGAAAAAGTTTCGAATTAACAGGAAACTAAGAGAATCTATTAATAAACCAGTCACGTTTTTCAATAGAGATAGAAGCACAGGTCGACCGCGTCTACCAGTAGTATACAAGCCTTTCTGTGCATTGAGTCACAAGCGCAAACTACCCATTGAAAATATTGTTATTTCCTAAAATAATGGACGACTTTAACTGTTTATAAACAAAGCACATCGTGATCTTAAATCCAGCTGTTGTTGTTTCCATGCCCTAGAAATTTTTGGTATAAGCCTCGTCAAATTATTAGGGAAGCTGTTCTCTTTCTCTAGAACTCGCAGAAATCATAAACACATTTTTGGAGTAAATGCTGTTTTCAAAAAATAGGGCACGTTTTCAATAGTATTTCGAATGTAACCGGGATTACTTGCTTTCCTACACTCCGCGTGTGACTCAAGAAATGTGCGCGTCTCCACGCACTTGAAGCCATTCAGTCTAAGCTTTTATTGCAGGTAATTTAGTGTTAACAACTGAGTTGAAAACGTAAATTGGCCACCGTAATGAGTAAAAAAGCTGACGTTTCGAGCGTTAGCCCTTACAGCGATGGGGTAACACTCGAAACGTCAGCTTTTTAACTCTTTACGGTGGACAATTTACGTTTTCAACTCAGTTGTTAAGACTAAATTTCCTGCTATACTCTCCCACCGACGCAGCACCACAGTTTCTTTAGAAACTTGCCCCTTTTATTCTCTCATTGGCTCTTTTGGTATTTACTTTGCTCTGATTGGCTGTTGTAATTTCTTTGCTTTTCGCTCTCAAATAAGTACTTTTTGATTAAAACGGTGATGCAATTCCCTCATTAAGTAGTATTTCTCAGATTATCGTAATTATGGATTATCAGCCGCTTCGTCTCAGTAAACATTCGACTATACCAGCTCCTCAACACAATACGAAAGACGAGTGTTTTATCACCTGATGCCTTAACCAAGGTATGTTCTCAGACATGACCAGGTTTTCATTATAGGACCATAATGAAGATAAACGACTTGCACAAACGTGATGGTATACTTCGCTCGAAACTGACGATAAAAAAGACGCTTGTGGAAGGCTAGCTTCGTCTTGCATGAAATTTCCTCTCATGCATTTGTGCAATTTTGCACAACATGAGGCACCACTCTTTTTGACTATTAGGCTCGGTCCCCGCATCAAGAGGACTCAATATTCTACCTATTTGCAGGAACTCATTTGTCCTGATTTTAGCCTTTTCCAGGCTCTCTTTCAGTAGAGGATGAGAGGTCTAGGATAAGCGAAGGAAGAAAGCAGCCTCCGACGAAATAAAAACGGAATCTGGCAAGTGATTTAACATGCATTAAATACTGGCCGATTTTAACCTGTAACTCCCAGAAGTGATAAACATTAAACTTCTCCCTATGAGATCCATGCATTATCCAGCAAAGGACTAATGAGAATACCCAAACTTATCAGGTAAAAATTGTTATCTTGATCTAAAACCAAATTCGCCTAACTTATTTGCCGGGAATTGTGTAAAAGCTAGAGAGGAGAATTAACAATCAGATCTTGGGAGTTAAAGGGTTAATGGGACAGGCCGATTTCATCTTCATTTCCTTGTTGTTTTGACTCGAAAAAGTGTCAAAAAGAGAGGGGAAAAAAAAGCAAGATACTGACAAGTACGGTAGGTCACAGCCAACTCTAGAACATCAATGTCTCTAGTTTGCAACAGACGGAGTTACTTCCTCCGCAGCTATTCTGTTCACTACCAGCTGTGGCTACACGCTAGACTACAGAACTATTGGTAGCCTACGTGTAGCCGTACTTCCTCCCCCCCCCCCCAGGTGAAACGGAAGCGTTTCACCTTGGGGGAGGGAGGGTCCAGCTGCACGTAGGCTAAACTCTACGCATATATTTCTTGATTCTCTTGTCGACTCTTGTGCCTGA